ACACCTCACAACAGTCCTTTCTGTACTTATAATGATCGATACCTTAAAGCCCAAACGTTTGACAGCTACTGCCACAACTGAACCGAACGTATGAACAAGCCCCCTCAAGCGTTGCTTCTGGGCCTACAGGGTAATGGCAGGTGCTCAAGTAAAGTAGCCTTCAGTGTATAGAAGCAGCTCTACCTTGAGTGACGAACTTTGGGTCCTTTAGAAGGGTTTTCGTTGTATTCGGGGCCTTTCGGTTTAGGGTTCACGGTTCAGGGTTTGGGGGTGTAGGTGTTGGAGAGCTGGGTGGGACGATTTAGAGTTTCGAGGATCTCCAGGACCCAAGGGGCCCTTTAATCGAGCCCTCATGGTACTTAATAGTCGGCACTCAGGGTACAGCAGAGGGGCAGTTTCGGGGTCGAGGTTGAGGCTTAGGGGCCTGGGCTTTTAGCTGACACCCTAAACCCCAAACCCTAAGCCATACCTACACTAGCCCTACCTCAGCACAAGCCCCAAAAGGTCTACTGCGATCCGGTCTGGTGTGAAGAAGCCTGTGCAGTGAATTATGTGAGACATTTGTTGGTTCTGTCGCAACCTTGCGGGAGCCTGAAAACTTTCCCAGATGGCCAGGAAAACGGCCCGGAAATGAAGGCTTCACGCAAGGCCTGCCGGGATCTGCAATGCACCAGAAAGAGAAGGTGAGCAAGCAAAGTCCTGGGTTCATACAGGGGAGCTTAAGGTTCAGAGGCTCGGGTTTTGGGTGTCCCTGAACCCTGAACCCTTAACCGGCAGACTAATATAGAAGCCTAAATGATTGCCAATATCATTCCCTGTATAGTTCTTGAGAATGATTATGCTAAAAGGTACCCCAAAACCCTGTTGCTCAGAGATTTCAGGCTTGGTGCGTGGCCGTCGGGTTAAGGAGGATTTATGGTCTAGGGTTTACGGTTTTGGTGTGGTTGATTTGGTGCAATCCCAGCAGGACTGGCAGAGATTTTTGAGGCGTACGCCTCTCGGAATCCACATCGAAAACGCACCCCAAGGCCTCAAGGCCACAAGATCCCTTCGTTAGAAGCTAGACTTATGGTTCGCGGTACGGGACTTAAAGCTGTAAAGACGGAAAGTATAGGTCCCAAATTCATGATGCATCGCATCTCAGGACAGGCGTGCCTTTATGTTCCTTAAGGAAGGGATTTTGGGGTGTCTGGGCATGCCAGCCCTCAGCTGTCGGCCAAGGACCCCACCAGAAAAAACCAGACAAAGGTTTGGCGGAGCCCACCGGCACATGTTACAACTTAAAATTCTGAACCCCTAAACCCTAAACACTAAACCCCAAAGGGGAAGGAAGAGACAACCCCTACCGAGCAATACGATTCGACGAGGTTCGCCTCCCCAACCTGCTTGCTGCGGGCGCTGTAAACCCTATATGGGGGTTTCCGAAAAGAGGGGACCCTTAAAAAGTACCCTTAAATAGTAAGATCCTTAATATAAGGACCCCAAAATAAGGCACCCCTTATGTTCGGAACTCCCATATGAAGCCTTAACTTACGTCCGACAGCCATGTCTGAGTGCCGAATCCGGAAAACCCGAATGCCTCCACAGCCCCTTAACCCTAGTCCTGGAAGCCTAAACCCTGCAGGCTGAGTTAAGGGTTTAGGATTGAATTCTGCGGGTTGACCAAGAACCATGGTTTAGGGTTTAGGGTTTTAGGATATCAACAAGTATCGCGCTGTTGATGCCGTCACTACGACTGAAGACGAGTGGAGTCTCGTGTAGAGTACCGGCTCACCAAAGCCGACATGCCCAAATTTCAAACACGCGCACGCCTAAACCTAAAACCCTAAGCCCTAAACTCTAAACCCTAAAAACCTCTCACACCCTCAATTACAGTGTGCTCCGCCAGTTCGAGAAATCCTCGCATGACTTTGGCAAGTCAGTGAAAACACGACCAGCTGTGGATTGACCGAGTAAGTTTAGGGCTTAGGGCCCAGCGTTTAAGGCTTTAGGGTTTACGGCTTCAGGGTATAGGGTGGAGAGATTTTGGATCTGAGGGGTTCAAGTCTCGCGTGTGGGACAAGGTTTCGAAAAGAAGAAGACCAGCAGCCCTGAATTCCCACCACCCCCTCCCCTTATTATCGTGTCATATGGTTAAAGCAACTGTGTCCCACATTCGGAGTAAAACCCGAGGATCTCAGTTTCGGCCATAACGATATTCGAGTGATAGGTTTGGGGAGATCTCTCCACCTGGACTCCAAAACTGCAACAAATCTCAACCTACTAGGGTTTAGGGTTTAGGGTTTAATAAAAGCACAAGAAGAATTCCGTAGAGCTGTAATTCATAAGCCTAGGTTCCCTCAATGAGGATTATGAGCGGAGTCCTAATATGCAAGCCCTCAAGGTGGAGTACGCTAAGCACGACACACACAACCCGCTCCAAATTGTTGCAAGATCCTCCGGAACTGAACGGTTGAACTATGACGGCTTTGAGTTCAGACTTTAGGCTGTAGGGTTTACCTAAACCCTAGACCCTAAACCTAATACATACATGTCGGAGTTTCAGAAATCAAGGGATCCTCATTTACAGGTATGTACTTAAATAGGACCCTCAGCCCTGCACTGCCCTACACTCTACACAGCGGTCCCTCAGTTTCAGAAAGCTCCATATGGGTAGATCTCTAAGTTAGGGCCCTTAAGTCCCCAATATAGTACGGCACCCTTATAACAAGGACCCTATAAGGGACCCTAGTTTAGAGAACTACCCATATGGGTCTGGTTTAGAGTTGAAAGGCTTGAAAGTTGAGATTCAGAGATCTCAAATTCCCAAAACCCGAAGCCCGGAACCCTAAACCGTCTGGGAGGCTTGAGGATGCGTTGCGGAGCTATCTTTGTCTGGGGTTAGAGGTAGGGTTTGGTTTCCGTGCTTATGAGGTTTGGGGCTTGTGTCCAACAGAAAACCATGAAACCTAGTCATCCACTTTCTGGTCATTGTCCACCAGCGCATTGCTTGATTCTTCTCCTGAAAACGGAAACTTTTGCAGCACAGAGGTTTGCGCTAGGTCTGTTTATCCGGACTGGACTCATATTTCTGGTGTACTGGCATGTCAATGTGAGGCTTCTTGGCCATTTTGAGCTTTTGGGCCTATTGCACTGGAAGCTTGCACGGTTTCGTAGGGTTTTGGCCGAAGTTAAAGGGGAATAGGCCTTGATGACCTGCCCGGTGGGCGAGGGATTTTGAGAGTTCCTGCTGCAACACCAGAGCCTCTAGGGTTAACCCTAAACCCTAAACCCTAAAACCCTAAAGCCCTAAAACTCTGAACCCTAGACCCTAAGACCCTAAAACCCTAAAGCCCTAAACCCTGGGGCTGTCGGGGCCATGGCCTGGGCCTGGGGCTGCCCTCTAGCCACACGATATGAGACTCTTTTGTGGGCCTGGCAGGGGTCAAGAAGCAACAGCTACAACCCGTAGAATCTAAGGCTAAAAGCCACATACTTCCATACTTCAAACACCTGAAACCCTTACTTCAACAGCTCTACACTTAACACCCTAAAGCTTAGACCTGGAGTAGGCTCTGCCTCGCTCGGCGCGTCGGCGCATGCGGCGGTACTTCCGGGTCAAGTGCTTCGCCTGGTCTGGGTTGGAGCAACGTTAAACCCAGATAAAACCTCACAGAAGCCCTTGAGAGCCCAGTCTCATAGGAAACTCTCATTTTAAAGGCCCTCGCGCGTACAGCACTTTTAAGGGAGCCCTATCCAACCTTATTGATGATACCCTTTATTCCAAGCTTGGCGTTTGAGCGTCTGGGCTCTACAAAAGTCTAGCTGCATGAAGTGCCAGCAAGACGCCTGCATGGCTTGCAGTGGCCAGTAATGTGTAGCCGCCACATCGACTGGGTGAGGGTTTGTCGAGGGTTTAGGATGTAGGGTCTACTTGCGGCTGGTGTCTGCCCAGCTGTCTCGGACATGAAACCCCCCCAAGCCCCAACCCAAAACGACCCTGAACCCGAAGTTTAAGTTTTTAGGGCTTCCGGGTTCAGTGTCTAGGGAAGTGTAGGGCTCCTTGAGACCAGCCTTCTGATTGTCATCAGCTTCGGGCGCGAAGGCGAGTGGGAGGGATTCTTCCCCCACGTTGCTCTCCTTGCTGGGTGCAGCGTGGCCGCACCTAGCAGGGGAAAGCCCAAAATCCTGCGTGAAGGGTAGGGTTTAGGGTTTTAGGGTTCAGGGTGTACCCGCAAACCCCACCCTAACCCTAAACCACCCTAAACCACTCTAAGTCGGAACCGTTAAGATGAGAGCCTCGAAGCTTAGCCCTTTAAGACTATGAGACCCATTGAAAGCTCCATGAAACCTTACCCTAAATCCCAACCCTTACAGAGGAACGGAAATAACTTAATCACAATGGAATGAAATCCCCTAAACCCTAACCCGTAAAATGCAAGCGTGACCCGAAAGCCTCGCAGGCTCCGACTCACTCCTGAGCCAGGAATCGGCAGCCAATTCTTCGAAGGCCCCCAGCTCATCCGTGAAGTCCTCAGCTCGACTATTGCCCTTCTCTTGTTGGTATTATGCTTCTCGTCAATGTGAGCTACATGAGTGACATTGCTGTTGCTATTGTTTTACTGTCATGATGACTATCATGATTATGATGGTAGTCGCAGAGCAACAAAGTTCTGGGTTTGTGCGATTCGGATGTACGTCTGCCCTAGCAGCCTAGTAACCTCTGTTGTAGGTTTCCGGGCTTTGGGATCTACAAGGCTATCAGCGAGATCCAGCAACCGCAGCACATAATATAGGGGCCTTAATAGTTAGATTTAAGTCGGTCTTCGGCAGGCAGAACCCATGAAACCCAGGAATGATTAAATTGTGAAATAAATCTAACTGTTAGATTAGGGGTTTTGGTTTAGGTCCCTACATTACCAGCACTGCATAGAAACCTGAACCAACCCAAGTACGCAAAAACGCCTTGTAGCAATCCAAGTAGTAATCCGCACAGACCCCGAATATGCGTATTGTAAGCCTTGAAGGTTGCACTTGATGTACCTGCGCTGTCCGAAGACAGTTCTCTGCACACATTTCAGTAGGCCCGACAGAGCGGGAGCTGCAAAAAGTTCGGAAAACCTAGGAACCGGGATCTGAGGATGGCCTAGCTGCACATGACACATGCAACCCTGAAGGGAAGCCGTGATAGGGTTCAGGGTGTAGGGTTTAAGGTGACGGTCGTCCATACTGGGTCTTGTCAAACCTCCCTTCTAGTTTGTGGGAGGGTGGTGCTTTCAGTTTCTGTCTTTCTCTCCGAAATCCCAGAACCAAACTCCGCCACCCAGTGTCCAAAAAGGTGTTCTTGACTGTAGCACATTCCAGGCAGTAAATTGCCTGTGGAAATGTCTGCATGACTGCATGCATCGGCGGCGACCTGTTGCAAGATGCCTTTGAGCCAAATTGCCGCGGACGTACAGACAACTCACCTCTTCTTAGTAGTATCTTCAGGCGCCTTCATAGTAAGAATCTTGACGATCGTGGAGAGTCCCAAATCCACACCCTGAAAGCCCAAATACAATCCCTTAACCCCTAAACCCCCAACAAATCTAACGCCTAGTGCTCGGAGTCCCCTAAGCCCTCCCTTAAATTCCCATAGCTTACTTTCTGTAAGCTCTCATTCTGAACCGAAGTATAGTATAGAATCCACTAGAATGTACCGGGACACTACCACAAGAAGTTGGGTTTGGTAGTTCAGGGTACACACACTAAGCTCTTGAGCACAAAACTCCCTAAACCACACAACCTATCCCTTAACCCCTAAGCTCTAGAACCGGAAAATCCATGAAGACGTAAGCTCCAACTCTTTAAGACCAAGTAAGCCCTGAAAATCAAAAGCTCTAGATCCAAGCAAGGAGGTTTTGAAGCGTCTTAAATGGCTCAGTAGGGCTTAGAGCTCTTTAGGGTTGCAGGTTCCGGCTAGGACTTGAGTTCCGTGGTTCAGGGCGTCCGGGTTTAAGGCTTATAAGGTTTACTGAATTTACAGGGTTTAGGGTTTAGGGTTTAGGGTTAGCATGTGGCAGCACAATAACGGCTGGCCGAAGTGACACAAACCGGGGGTGAGAGGGTGAGCGTATCGTGTCACATAGGGATGAAAGTCTGCAGAAATACGTCTGCTGCATGGCTACTCAGGCCACTACGCCTCCTATCCCTACATCCCAAGTCTTGAAGCTTGGACTTAGACTTTATATGGGTCATTGAGTTTAAGGTTTCGGGTTGGGGGTTTAGGGATAGACTAGAAATCTTGTAGGGATGGGTGAGATACCGTCAAACTTATTCACAGACCCAACTGCTAATAACCCTCGTAACATAGTAGTTGTCCAGCTGGGCCCATGCGCCCTGTCAATATACATGTCTTGCCATAAAGTCACTCTGCAGAAACTCCTTTGAAAGCATAAGCAAACACAACATAGGTGCATGGACCCGTAGCCTTATTGCCCCTAGACCCTAAGCTTCCGACGACACTTCTGAAGATGTGCAAGAAGATTCAGGAACAGCCGGGGCATCTTTGGACCTGCTTATTAGGGTTTAGGGTTTAGGGCCTGCCCTCTCTACGGATGTGTGGCCTTTGAGGATACTCTTCAGTGCAGCTGCCCAAACCCCTGAGCCCTGAACCCGTTAGATGGAACCGTCTATATAGGACCACGAGGGAGCCTACGGCTTAGGCTGAATAAGGAACACCAGCTGGCCAGGCCTCTTCTAAGAAAGCTGCGTTCCGCATCGGAATGCATTGCAACGACGTTCGCTGCCTGCATATCCAAGGACATCAAAAACCAAACCGTCTGCATCTAAAGGCTAAGTCTAGAAAAAGAAGCCTTACAGGTAACTATTAGTATTACGATCCCCGTAATTAATGACTCGAAGCTGCTAGAATATACCCTAAACCCTAAACTCTAAACCCGAAACCCTAAAACCAAAAACAATCGTGCGACTTCCAGGTCCCCTCTCGCTGACGACTTGGGCGCCAGACCTGCGGCACCGATGGCCGACCTTATACCATGGACCCTAAAGAATCTACCTTTCTAGGGCTCCTTATTACGATGTTTTTGCACAAAAAGTCCTTAAAAAGGTAGGTTATTTGGGGTTATGGTAGACCCTACTACCAAAAGAAGCATAACACCCTCAAGTGGGTAATTTTAGGGTTTAGTCCGCGCAGGGCTGCCGGGCTCCTGAAATCCCGGAGGTTTAGGGTTTGGGCTTCAGGCTTGGGCCGAGGGGTTAGAGGCCTAAACCCTACCTATTTACAGTCTCGGTTTAGGGTTTAGGGTTTTGTGGTTCCTGTTTGCGGTTTAACCAATTCCTTATTCATTAGGATCCGAGAAGGTAAGGTAGCCCGACAAAGGAACTACCATGGAGGCTACAGGCAAACCGCTGTCTTGCTCATATCCTGGTATGATGAGGCTTACAGAGGTGGCTGGCCCACAGGAACCGAGTTGAGTAGCATCAGGGTTTAACAAGGGTATTGCACAGGGCTACTGACGATGAGGTCCTAGGATCTAGGGTCTGGGGGCAGGACAGGTGTCAGAGGGTGTGTGTTTAGTACAGTGCAGAACCAAAGCACCCAAACCCTCGGAACCATCAAAACCCTATACAAGTCCGACAGAACACTGGCCTGCGACCGCCAAAACGCCCTGGACCACAACTGGCAGAGAAACAATCGAAGCCTCGATGGCCACAAGAAATCTTGGCCCCTGAGGCCTGCAATCCTAGACCCTAAACCCGAAAAACCAACAACCACCGAAAGCAAAACCAAGGAAGCTGTAAACACCTCTGGAACCTGCCTTATGGATCGGGGCAGTCTCAAGACGGGTGACCTGCAGAGGCCAAAGGGAACCTAAACCCTACACCCTACACAACTTCAGGATTGAAGGGTCTACCCGAAACCCTTTAGGCTCTTTGATCTTGGGGCGGAGGGGGGTGTAGGGTTTAGGGTTTGAGGATTTAGGGTTTGGGGTTTGGGAGGGCCCTGAAAAGCATCCTAGCAAGGCAGCTTTGGGGCTCATGGGGCAACAGTTTTGGGGTTTTGGGGGTTGAAGGCTTTGGAGCTTGCATGTTTAAGGATTAGGTTTTGGGGTTTAGGGTTTGGGGTTTAGGAGGATTCAAGACGAAGCGTGCGTTATTGTGCTCCTGCGATGAGCCCAATTGGGTACATCCGAATATCTATGGACAAAAAAGGTTTAACCTACATTTCGGCTAGGATCCTATCACAGACCCGGATTGTTGCGCCCGTGTGCGTATGTGTGTAAGAAGGATGGATAGATTCAGAGATATATATATATATATAGATAGATAGATAGATAGATAGATAGATAGATAGATCTATGTATGTCGATTTGTTTGTTTATCTGTTAATTGTTATGTATGGGTTGATTCGTTTGTTTATCTAGGTACCCTAGAAACTAGCATATGCCAGTTTACGGCAGAGCCTACGACTCTGCAAGATCTCCAGGCAGAGTCTGTCGATTCAAAGGCCTACTAGGGCTTAGGGTTTGGCGGTCTAGGGGTTCAGGGCTCAGGGCTTTGGGGCTGAGGATTTAGGCTTTCAGGGCTTAGGGCTTAGCTTGGTGTGAAGGGTTTAGGGGTTGAGAGTCTCATGCCCTGTCTGAACACTGATGGGATCGGGAGTCGATGGTTGCCTGATTGATAGTCCTAAGCCTTGCTCAAAAAACAGCTGCAGCAACTTAGGGTTTAGGGTTTCAACAAAACACCCAAGGCCCGAATTTGCCTCTGCCTTCGACACCGATCCTGGTCCCATCCCAGAAGCAAAATTATTGCAGCCCGAGCTGCAGTGCGTCAGGCAGCTTGGGACTACCGCTGTTCAATCGTCATCAGACCTTTGGAATCAAAGGATGGCCATACAGGCCGTAGGTTTTTGCTCTAAGTACCTTCATAGCTGCAAAAGTGTACACCAAAACGCAAACCCCCACAACCTGAAACACCCCGAGTCCGTCAGAAGAGTAAGTGGGCTACCAAAGCAAGTTTCAGGTTGAGGGCAACCTGAACTGCAAACTCCAAAACCGAACTATGCGACTGCGTGTTATTGTTTAACGCGCCCCAACAGTCCTGTGTTACCGAACCTTCGAGAAGGAGTTTCAGTCACCGGTCTGTGTCGGATGTTTATACATTTCGTCATGCATGCTGTCGGGTCGGGGGGCACTGGTGCGGAAGATTACAGTATCTGGTGTATGTGAGAGGCCGATCGCGGGTCAATGCAATAGCTGATGTCCAGGGCGTCGTTTGTGGAGATATGCATGTCATGTGGGTTTTGAAGCGCGTCTAGTTGGTCAAGGCAACTCTCTTATCACAGCATGTCGCCAAGAGTTCTAGACGCTGTATTCCGATCGGATGGAGCTAATAATCGGGTGGGCGAGGGGGGGAGGTATCCACTCGTTGGAGCAACCAGCTTCGGTAAAAAGAAGGATTCGCATGGTGTAAGCTCACTTCATTAAACGAACTGCGGACGTGCTTCGTCGTGGAGCTTATTTCCTCCGTGATCCCGAGCCCCCAAACTTTGAAGAAACTAACTTGCAAACCCTGCAGAACTTTGAAGATACCAGAGTTACAGCGACTTGAGGGCCAATCTAGTAAGCATCCCTTGGGCAAATTTTAGCGCTGCTTACGGAGTTCAAGACCACTGAATTATGGGGGCTGGGCTAAACATTAAACCCGAACCCCAAGACTATCCGGGGTTTCGGATCCTTGGAATCTCTGCAGTTCGGGGCCGTGAACAAATAAGCCTAAACCCTTAATAGATTCGACCCTATAGGCCCTATGGGCCCTAAACCCGAAAGCCCCAAACCCTCAACCTTTGAATCCCTAATCCCTAAACCCTAAACCCCAAGTCCCAGGGGCATCGGGAGGCCTTGGGAGCAAAAACTCCCAACAGCTGTGGTGCCGAAATGTCCACGGAAAGGAAGGCGGCAACTCGTACTTTGCAGGTGACCACTTGTGATATGTTTAGGGTTTAGGGTTCAGGGTAGAGAACATCGTAAAGCCATAATTAAAGCACTTTGCAATTCAACGTACCAGAGTGGCTGGCCACCTGGCCACTCAGGACTTCACCCCAAGGCATTGTAGACCCAGAGTGTTGGGTTCGAGCTGATAGGGGTTAGGCTTAGTGCTTAGGGTGTGCAGGGTGCAGGGGTTATGTAGTATGGCATTTTGGGGCACGTCCTTGTTTTAAGGAAAGAGTCAAGCATCCAACGTCTCAAAAGAGCCCGGTGCGCCTGGGTTCGGCAGCCAGCAGCCAGTTCGCAAAAAAAACAACGAGTCTTGGGCTTTAGTTTTAGTCTGCAGGGCTTGGGGTTATGGATACAGGGTTCAGGGCTTGTTTAGGGGGGTTTAGCGTTTCAGGA